ACACACACACACACACACACACATCTGTGACCTACAGATCATATCACAGAGCTTCATCTGACAGGTCACATCACCGCTGAGAGCATCTCACGGCTCGGATACGCTTCACAAACACACACTCATCAAACCCTGACCGTGTGTTTGATGCAATGAAGTTTAGTGCATTCTTATCATATTGTATCGACTTATAATCTATATAAACACGAGAAAAACTCTATTGCATATACCGGGCTTTCCCTAATGGGGGTTTCTGAGTTGATGAAAAGATTAAATTATAAAAATGCTAAATTAAAATAAATAATTTATAACTTTAAAAATACATCAGAATAAGTTAAATAATATGAAACACAGAGGAATATGAAAAATATGAATAATATTAAATATTTTTAAATGGCATTCAAATATTTTTTTTAATTAATACAATTATTTTATTATTTAAATTAATACAATTAATGAAATAAAAAGATTATATATTTTATTTAAAATAAACTAAAATAAATATTTTTAAAATAAAAAAAACTAATCAAAATAAAACACTAAGATATAAAATATCATGAAAATATGCACAATATATTTTTGAAATCACATTTAAATTATTTAAAATAATAAAAACACTAAAAAGATTTAATATTTTACCTGAAATAGGTTCAATTAAACACTTCAAAAATGATCAAAATGGATTAAAAATATTAATTATGAAAATATGAAAAATATTCATATCAATAAAAATACATTTAAAATAATAAAAATAAACCACTTACTAAATAAGACAAAAATATTGTTTAAATATATTAAAATGAAAATACAAATCAAAAAACACTAACAACTTTACAATAATTTTAATATAACAAAAATAAAACACTAAAAAAAATGAGCACGGCGTTCTCCAGGTCGAGTCTCTGCGAGTCTCCGCGGGGTTTGACGTCGCAGCTCAGCGGGTCGATGTGGACGCTCTCCAGCTCCAGCATGGTCAGCTTGACAGCCGCCCGGTCGTTCTTCAGCTGCTGCATGTAGTCCTTCAGACGCTGCTCGTCGTCTTTGGAGAAATCCGTGTCACAGCTGCTCGCCGTTGAGCTGGTGGTGCTGCAGCATCCACAACAATTCAGAAGATTTAGATTCAAAGAAAAATTTTATTAAATGTTACCCTTTTTAAAAGAGTTTTCATAGAACTCAATTTTTTATTATTCTCACCAACCATAAAACTGCATTTGGCAAATATTTTTACTAAAATACTTGTGTCTCTATGTTATTATGTAGCCATTTCCCATATTTTAGATACTACTACTACTACTAATTGAAGAGCTTATTTGCAAAAACAGATAACTCCGTTTTTTTATTGTTTTTTATAATGTTATCATGTTTTTATTGTTTTATTGTTAGTTAGCTGTTTTTTTAGTTATTTTTTAACCTAGTCAAAATAATGCACAATGAAAAAACATGATTTCTGAGAATTGTTAAAAACGGAGTTATCTGTTTTTGCAAATGAACTCTTCAATTGTTATTATTATTATTAAAAGAATTCTAAACATGTATTATAAAATATTAAAAATATTTAATAATAAGATTAATAATATTAACAGTTATTAAAATAAAAATGACAACACAATTATAAAATCTGTTATACAAATAATATATTATTAAGTTACGATATTTTATAATACATTTCTATAATTAATCTTGAATATTACTATAA